AAAAAAAAAAAAAAAAAAAGAGACAGTACTTATTCTGGGAACTATATCCAGAGGAAAAAAAAGGGATCCAGGGAAAACTGTTCTTACTTAACTCAAACAAGCCAAGGATACAAATGCTGGTCATTTTCTTCAAGAAGGGACTGCATAAAAAGAAGATATCATAATCTTATTTTTAAAAAAAATGCTGTTCCAGGAAACACTGCATATAGTTCTGGGACTTGGATCCAAGACTTCAAAGATGAAATGGAACTCTGGCAAGAAGCGAATGGGGTTAACTATTTGCCGAGTGCTTTTCATTTAGAAACACAGAGAAGACATAGTTGGTACTACGAACAGGGAGGATAGGTTGGAGGAGGCTCAAGAAATCACCTGACTCTAATGTGTAGTCAGAAAAATGCTTTCATTTCAGTGTTAAGAGAACCAGGCCAAGCCATCTTCTTATAAAAAGAAAGTTGAGTATAATCTTAGTGATGAAAACAGGTATGTCTTTACAATCTGTCCAAAGGCATGTCATAATCAGAGTGAGGAAGGAAAATCTGGGTCAGCATACTGAGCTAAGAATGAATGGAAAAAAGATATAATAGAGTGGGGGAAGAGCTGTTCAAATAAATGCAGTGTCTTAAAGTACCAGAAAAAAGAAGTATTCAGGATGAGAGGAAGTAGCATTGTATGAATTTCAGGGTGGTGAAAAGTAAATAATAAATAACAATAATACAAATATTTTAGTAAGAGAATTGGAATTTTTTGAAAAATTGCAATTTATAAACTTCCTTCAGGTATGATGCATACTTGATCCTAGTCTTACAAAAGACCTGAAAAGAAGGCGTATAATGTAGTATTAGTATCATTTTCTAGAAAACTGAGATTAAGAGGAATTAAAGTAGTTCTCCAGGATTGTCACCAGGCTATTAAAACAGGACTTGAACTCAGGCATTGGATTCAAAAGATATTTATTCCTCTATACATTCTACTGAAATAGACACAGTTACATTGGCCACTGAGGAAACTAACAGAATGAAGCGACTCTCAATAGGAAAGGAGACTGACAACACTTTGGAAGATACAACTGTTTTTAAAAATATAGCAGAGAAAATAGACAAATGGGGAAAACTGAGTAATGAGGATAAATGGAGAACAAAACAACAACAATAAAAGAACTGAAGAACTTGAGAATAGCTATCATGAATATCTGTTGTTTCTGGGTTTCCCTTCTTGCACTTCTGCCCAACAATTTGATAGAGGTGGGTACTGCAAGTGACATAATCTAAAAGGTGTTCTTGATGAGTGAGTGGAAGAATTGGGGCAATGAGGACATCTTAATCTAGGGCTAGTAACAGCCAAGTATTTGGTTAAGTTGTCCTTTGGTTCTCAGACTACAGAGCATTCAGGCACTTGATTTTGTTTCCTTCATTTTGTTTTTGTTTTTGTTTAAGTTAAGAAATAAGCTGTCTTGCCTACTAGAGATATAAGACCTCTAAGGTTTGCAGAATTATTTATTTCCCTGTTGAACTGCAAGAGTTGAATTTGCTGTCCCAAGCTAAAGTTAATTCAAGCCAAGGCAAAGAATTGGGAAAGTACAGAAAATAATATTGATGGAAAGAGATTTAAAAGGGGGGGTGGTGGTGGTTAGCTTGATCCTCTAGGCCTCTTTCAAATATAAGGGGCAATAATTATTCCCTCACCATAAAGTGCCATTGACTGTGATACAGCCTGGACCAGGAAGAGATGAGCTCTGCCTTACTACCACAAGCTACAGTCTTCCCAAATTAGGAAGACTTGCTGAGCCCCAACTCCTTTACCAAGGGTCAGAAACAGTAATGGCTGGGACAAGGTTCAAAGATTTGATAAAATTTCTGCTATTAGTTCTTAGCTAACAGGATTCCCAGGAACCTAATCAACTGGGAGCTGACTAAAATTTTAAGGTGAATTAAGTTTCAAGTGAGTTTAAGCCTAGGGGCCTTCTTATTGCTCAATCCCCAAAGCAAATGTCAGCCCCCCATATAATGCCAACAGAACATGGGCACCTAAAGCAAGAGAGCTCCCCAATGGGCAGGCTCCAGGGGTTCTCTCGGTCATGTCCATGGAGGATACGGGACAAGGAAGAACCTTGATGAGAGCAGAGTCTGAGGGCAAGCATATGGACTGACTGACAAACTTACGCCACTGTAGTCCATGCTCCCCAGTCTGTCCAGCAAAATATACCTTATGTTCTTGACTGTTGAAGAGAGTATGCCGCTTGCACTTTTCAAATGAGAGATACTGTTGTGAGTACATGATTTTTCTTTCATTATAAATTAGGAGTAGTGCCATGATTATATAACCAGGAGATATTATTTCCAAACCTGATTAAGAAGTATAGACTATCCAGAGAACTTGCCCTTGGAGTTCAGTGTAGTACCTGAGTGTAACTGCTGACCATCTCCCCTTTGACACAGAGTGAATTATAAAGCAATGTATTAGGTTAATAGAGAGTTTTCAGAAGCGCAGGCATGTGTGTATGCTTGCTGGGAAACCAGCAGGTAAAACAGAACAGATAGATGTTGGTTTTTCTGTTCAACACTCTTCTGGGAAGAGCCCTCCCTCCCTCCCTCCCTTGGGGGAAGGGGACATCCCACACTACATGTGGCTCTGGGGGGACTGCCAATCATCTCATCCCACCTCCTGAATGGGCATGGAACCCAGGCTTGGTAAGATAACCTGGCTCAGGTGGGAAATGTGACTAATTAGAATCGTGTTGTTTGTTTAGATGAAAGAGATAAGGGCTCCCTTTACATCTGAAACAGAGATAACGATGTCAGCAGAGAAAACCTAGGAGAAAGACACAGAACCAAGGAGGAACCTTTTTCTCATCCTTTCTAATTCCATGACCTCAGGCAAGACGGCAACATTTTGAATTTTAGAACTCTAAACCACCCTACAACACAGGGTTGTTCTGTGTGTTGAAGAAGATAATTTGTTAAAATACTTTATGAAGTATAAACCGCTGTACAAATGTTAACTAAATCAAAGATTTCCAGGGAAACCTAAAGGGCTAAATAAAAATAGAAACTCATGGTGAAAGTACAACTTAAAATAGAACATGTGAAAAGGAAAACCAAAGCTTCTTGCTGCTCAGCATGATCCCAGGATCAGGAACATGGGCATCACTTGTGAGTTTTTAGAAATACAGATTTTGGACCTCATCCCAGCCCTACTGAGTTCAATCTGCATTTTAACAGGATCCCCAGGTGATGTCATGCATAATGGCCTTTCATTAGCATGCCTTTATATAAGGCTATGGCAGTTTCTCCTGTCCACCACAGAAGGATGCTATAAGAAAGGAATTTCACTTGCATCCTAGGGTAGGTGGTGGAGTTGAAAAAACAAAGGGTCATAAAATGTGATACTTAAATAAGGAGGAACAAAAAATTATAGATGTTTATATATGTAGACCATGGCATTAAATGTAGTTGAAAAAGAGAAGCAAAACATTAGAATTGATGGAATTTGTGTGTAAAAATAAACACATACATAAATGTTATAATATTTCACAGTAAAGAGTCTGTAGCCAGTGGTTTCTGAGGAAGGGGTTGCAGATGGTACCCAAAAAAGCATAAGGTGATAAATAACAGGTTAAATTGATAACACAAAAAATTGGCAAAGATATATGAAAATAAGCAAATTTCCTTTAAAAATAGAATAAATTAGAGGTGTCTGGGTGACTCAGTTGGTTGAGCGTTTGACTTGGGCTTAGGGTCATGATCTTGTGCTTCACCAATTCGGCCCCTGCATCGGGCTCTGTGCTGACAGCTCAGAGCCTGGAGCCTGCTTCAGATTCTGTGTCTCCCTTTCTCTCTGCCCCTCCCCTGCCTGTGCTCTCTCTTTCTCTAATAAAATAAAATAAATAGAATACATTAAATTTGAATATAGAAAGATATTAAGCAGTTTAGTTTTGAGAGATAAACAGGAAACCCTTTTACTATTAAATATGGATTACAAATATTTACTAAAAATATTACCACATTTCTAGAAAAAATACTGAAGTTCATGATACTCAGAGTGCATTGATTAACTATATGTATATATATACATATGTGTGTGTGTGTGTGTGTGTGTGTGTATTTTTTAAATAACTAATGCCAGATAAGCTTGAAAGGAAATGAGAATAGGTGGAACACAGAAGGTTTTTAGGGCAGTAAAACTACTCTGTATGATAAGGATGGATACATGTCATTATACATTTGTTCAAACCCACAGAATGTGAAACGCCAAAAGTAAACCCTAAGGTAAACTATTGACTTTGGGGGATGATGATGTGTCAATGTGTGTTCCTCAATTCTAACACATGTACTGCTCCTATAGGGAAAGTTGATAACAGGGTGGCCTATGCCTGTGTGGGATCAGGGAGTATATGGGCAATCTCTGTAACCTCCTCTCAATTTGCTGTGAACCTAAAACTGCTCTTAAAAACTAATCTTGGAAGGGGTGCCTGGGTGGTTCAGTCAGTTAAGCATCCAGCTAAGGTTCAGGTCATGATCTCACAGTTCGTGAGTTCAAGACTCACACTGGGTTCTCTGCTGTCAGTGCAGAGCCAGCTTCGGATCCTCTGTCCCCCTTTCTCTGCCCCTTTCCCACTCATAGGCACTTGTGCTCACTCTCTCTCTCAAAAATAAATGAATGTTAAAAAAAAAAAAAAAGTCTTGAGGGTGAGAGGAAACAAGAAAAGTGCCAAGGCAGAGAAGAATACAGTTTGGATAACAAAAGCTCTAAATATATAAGAACATAAAATACCAATGATGATTACCAAAGAACATAAATTACATTGCTCACACAATGGTTAAAAAGGCAGATAAAATCCAAAAGGACAAGAGTAATGTTAAGGCTGCCCATGTTTCACTGGATTTTTCATGAAGGTCTGTAGAAAAAATTCTATTAAGTTCATAGAGTCAGAGAATATTAAGGAAGTCTGCAATGGAGTTTCAAGTCCAACCTTTATATTTTAAGGACCTAGAAGTGCAATGACTTGCCTGAAATAACAATGTGTAAGGACTCCAGCCAGATGTTTTCATTCTAATACAATACCATTTCTAAAAGGGAGTCATGATGGTACAAGTCAAGCTGAAGTGAGTTCTAGCTTAGGTACTTCAAATATTGAAGCAGAGAGAATCCCAAAGATGCTAGTGCAAAAAAATAAATGAATAATTAATTAAAGGAACGATGTGAAAAAGGAAATTGAAGATATAGTACACTGATAAAAAATTACTAGCATATTCAGTGTAGAGGAAGAAGGTGAGAAAAGCAAATGGGAAGTGAATTTAAAAAAAAGGGACGGAAGGAAGGAAAAATCAAGCTGTGAAGGGATTTGAAGCAATTAGAAACAAGAGAATCTGATAAAGTAATCTCCAGACCCCAATTGTTCTACTTGGAATCACAGAAGTGCAGACTGTCTAAATACGTAAAATCAGAGTAAGAAGAAAAGTATAATTCATGATAGAAAGGAGGAAAATAATAATAGAGATAAAGGTACAACATTAAAACTTTGAGTATAATTTGCTTGTAAGTAACTAGTAAGGAATGTCTGTGGCAATTTGATTGGCTTATGGTAAGAAATATATTTTAATACACATACTATGTCTATAATACGGTAAATTTTTTAAATTCATGAAAAGAGATATAAGTAAAAGTGTTTCCATAGGTTAAAAAATTATTAGGCTAGTCAATGCTATATTTCTTAGAGAGTAAATTATACATTTTTTTCAAAGTTAATGTTTCTGAAATTGGGGTGCATTTTCCATTGTGTATATTTACTATACCATTTCCTTTTTTGCCTGTAAAACTGCTATTGAATTGATACTTTCGTATACAATCCATGGCATTTCCAAGTCAGGGACATGAAGAATAGCATTCCGTCATAAAGGTGAAACTCATGCACGCAGTAGGAGAGAACCTCCGGCACCAGCACGTACCCTGGCTCTGGCATCGACAAGGGCACCATTTCTCAGGAGGCATCGGACCACTTCCACCTGCCCTGCCCGGGCTGCCATGTGCAATGCAGTCTCCCCACGCTGCCGGGAAACAGAGACCATTGAGTCATAAGTAAATTCACTGCTCTGAATGGTCAAGGATGAAAATGTGCCTGTTTGTGAAATTCAGCAATCAATCCAAAGGTTTAGGAAATCTATGAAAAGGTATAATTATTTCATAATTATTTAGTCTGAAACAACACAGTTTTGTATCTTCTCCATCTTCATAAGGATAAAACAAATGTTTTTTAGGTTTTTTTTTTTTCAGTCCATGACAAACAAGTGAACTTACCCAAAAATCCGGTATACTCTGAGGTTTAACTTCATAGTTAATTTGGCATAATTTAAATTGCTTTAGGTGAGGGGCACCTGGGTGGCTCAGTCAGTTCAGCATCGGACTCTTCATTTGGGCTCAGGTCATGATCTCATGGTTTGTGAGATTGAGTCCTGCATCAGGCTCTGCACTGATTGTACAGAGCCTGCTTGGGATTCTCTCTCTCTCTCTCTCTCTCTCTCTCTCTTTCCTCCTCCTCCTCCCTTCCTTCCTTTCTTCTCTCTCTCTCTCTCTCTCAAAAATAAATAAATAAACGTTAAAAAAAATACTTTAGGTGTTATCTTTTATCCTTCAAACCTAAAATCTGTCATTGTCACACTTGACTATGTGATTACAACTTGACCCCATTTTAAGGAGAAACTCTACATGCTAGATCAAGTCAACACAGTGCAAAAAAAAAAAAAAAAAAAAAAAAAAAATCACATCATTTGTACTATACATAAGTCATTCCTTTTCAGAATTCAAAATTTACTTCCATAATAAACGCTTTTACATTCAATTTGTCTTTGTGTTGTGAGGCTAGACGATGGCTATTCACATAAGAAATGTGATTTGCCCCAGATGTCCCCTATTTATTATTAATGAGCATATTTAATTATAGACGGTTATTTGAGAGAACTACCAAGAGATGAGTAAAGCAACTGTTAACAGCGTCATCTGTTGAGGCGGGCAGCACCAGCCATCAGGTCATTCCTCAAGTATTTTCATGCTACATCAAGATAGGGCACACTTGTCAGGAAATGGTAGCTTAAGTTGCAGCATGAAGGATGATGGTTAGATGAAAGGGTTTTTGTCATTGAAAACTTTGTTAAGTACTGCCTGTGAGAGAGGAGTTTTTGTTTGTTTGTTTTAATCAATGTATTTTAAAACCCCATGTTGTTCTGAAGAAGGCAGGGGTTCATTCTTCCAAACAATTTTATAGTTATAAAAAACCAACACACTGGAATAGAAGGGATTACTTCTAGTCACCACAACTGTTCTAGAAAATAAAGCTGATTTCAACTATGTAAAGTAAACCACTCCAAAGAAATGCAATTGATCTTAAAGTTGGTTGTGGTAATTGCATATTTCTGACAAATTCCAGTGAATCATTTCTTCTGATTCCTTGCACAACTTAAGTTTGGTACATAGCTCACAGTTCATTTTATTTCCTAGTATCAGAGACCCATTCCTTATGAAGTTATGAAAAATTCATTTCAAATGATTTGATTTTGAAAGCATTAACCTGGATGTCTACTCTATATTTTTTCTGTTTTATTGATGATTCACTTATCCTCTAATGGCCTTAATGATGACAAGTTTTGACTTTTGTAAAGTAAATGTATCTGAAGTGTGCTGTCTCATAAAACACATTATTGGAATAGCAATATTTGTCCTTAACCTTTGGGTGTATGGCAAGATTTTTCCTCTTTGGATACCCACGATTTCAAACTTGTTTTCTATATCACTTAACCTGTCTCTAAATAGATGGTTAAGATCTAACTATTAAACAATCACAAAAAGCCCTCATATCTTTATTCTATTTCTAAGACTAACAGAAGTATAGCAATTTTACTAATGTTAGTAGAAATAAAGACAAAAACAAATTTCCTTATAAGAAGCTATGGTGTCATGAGTTCCTACTTATGGATGGATTTATATGTTTAGTTTACAAGCCAGACTTTATCAATAAGGAGTTTTCAGAATGTAAAATGTTTCCAATACTAGTCTTAATATTTCCAATAACCTTATTTTATTTTATACTTAAAATGAGTTATTTTTATGATATTTATATATTTAAAATCAATGACTTAGATATAAAACCTAATCTAAAATATTAAACACTATATTCAAAGAAAAGTTATATATATATATAGTTATATATATATATATATAACTATATATTCAAAGAAAAGTTATATATATATATATATATATACACACATACACACACGTCTCTCCAATTTAAAGCAATGGTCTTGTTCATTTCTTATTTAATGACTCTGGGGTACTTGATTTTTATTGTAAATTTCCCTAACCCTTTTATATTTACATTACCCTTGTTTATACATAAATATAAATAAAAAAATGAAAGAAGGCGTATATTATTTTAATGACTTCCATTTCTTGATTGTTGGGTACCTCATCTTATTCAACACCCTTGTTTTCTTTATCTTAAACTAATTCACCTCAAGTACTGGGGGGAATTTTTAAACATAATATAAAGTGTGAACTTTGGCATGAACGCATTGATTTTTATATGCGAAAACTTGGTAATATCTCACACCATACTCTGGACAGACCCCAAAGTGCTTCGTTTTCGACTCCCATGGTTGTCAACGGATACTTTGGATTATGGATGTATTACAAGTGGTAGTTCCACTTCCCAGGTTTTAAAGTGCAAAGTGCATTTGTGAGCTTTCCGGAAAGGAAGCTTTGCAATAATAATATCTGTGCGTGATTCAGTTATTGGTACATCTCACACTTGGAATGAATTTTGAGACAAAAACAAGACTGGCAAGAGAATGGGTACGCTCATGTACGAAGCAGGTACTAAATTTTTCATGCCCCTCTTCTCAGTTGTTAAAACTGATTTGGCCGACAGCTACATTGACTTCCACTTTGGCTGCATCAGTTGGAAAGCATCAAAGCACAACAGACAGCATTACATTCAAAAATGCAACAGGATTTCAGGCAACACACAAAGGCTCCAAGGGTGGGGTACTTTGGGGTCAGGAAATGACCAACTCTCACACAGCGCGCAGGCAGTCAGGGTTCACACAGTTTCTTCATCTGCACAGAGTTTTGGATCCAGGAGTTATATCCTCATGTCCTGAGAATGCACAAGTTCACAGGCATCCCACTGCTAGAGAAATGAAATCCCTCTAAATGTAGGTTGCCAGATTTAGTAAATAAAAGTACAGGATGACCAGTTAAATTTGAATTCCAGACAAACAATGAATAATTATCTTAAGATAAATATGTCTCAACTATTGCACAGGACATACTTATACTGAAAACAATTACTTGTCATTTATCTGAAATTCAAATTTAACCAGGAGTTCTGTATTTTATCTGATAACCCTATCTATCTACATGGTATCTGCTCCCTGAAGGACATTGAATAAAAAAAATAAAATAATAAAAAAAAAAACCAAAAAAACAAAAACAAAACAAAAAAACAACAACTAGGAAACATGTTAAGAGGATTATATTAGCAGGTGCCTCTCAAGTATTTGTTTTGAGGGAACTGAAGGGAAAGAGTATGTAAGAGACAAGTGAGAAGATAAAACAAAGTGAACTTTATAGTGACTGGTAGGTTGAAGTTTAGTTTGATATTACAATTACCGAAATAGGGATTTCTCAGCCTAAAGGATGCGAGCACTTTTTTTATTGTTTTGATTAATATTTTATTTATTTTTATTTGAAAATCTACATGTAGCCTACATAGCGCTTTCTTTTTTTTTGCAGAGGGGAGCATATGAATATGGAGTAAATCCATAACCACCAAATGGTTTGGAATTGGTTAGTTAAGAAGCAAATTAACAGTGGCCACAGAATCACACAACCATTTCATATGGAGTTTCTTTGAAGATTCTATAAAATTCTCCCCTCAAAAATATTAACCTAGGGGATTTCAATAAAGCATCACATAGAATATACTTATATATGTTACTCTTATAATATGATAACATAATTTAACACAGTATCACCATTGTTCCTTGATCCTGAAGGCATTGAAATGCAAATACAGAAAATACAGTATGGTGGGAAAATATACAGAGCACTTTCCTTGAAAGTTACTGGTTCATACAGGTCTCGGTTTAAAAAAGAGAGGTGGTCACCATCTCTGCACAGAAAAAGGATGTTGATTACTTTTAAAGTTCTAAGAAGTGACTAGAAATTAAACTCAGATTGGCATGTTTTTAAATTACTCTTATCCTTAATGGAATAATTAAAGATTAATTTATGATATTATTACCTTCGGACCAATAAGCTATAATTAGGGAAATATAAACATAGACTATATTTCAATGATTTAATGGTTTTATGCTCCAATTGGGAATAATATAAAGAGAGAGTATTAAATAATATTTAAACCAAATCAATTCATCTCACATGAATTTTGTCCATGCATCAGAAACTTAGCACAGAAATAGTGTGTAAAATGCAAAGACATGAACAAGTGAGAGGGAATGCAAATGAAAACATTCTGTTTCACAACTCAAATGGAATGATATACCAAAATTTAACAACGGTAGTCAATCAATTGCTTTTGAAAATATGACTCAATAATAAGCACTGATGCTTATTGGGGGAGAGTTATCTCTATCGCATACTTAAAAAAAAATCTCAATATTCCAGTGGCCCCCTGTTGAGCTCTAAATACTGACTACACCTTGTGCAGAGTAAGGAGAAATTTTGCATTCAACGATCAAAGTTTAAAGTGGCAGACTCCAAGAAAATTAAAGAAACATAAGGAAGTTGGAAGTTAAAATCCTAATTCAGATTAGGCAGAAGAATTCTGGGACATCCAGTAGTCCCTGGCAGAATAAACGTTGTCTGGAGACCAACATTCATTTCAAGATACACGAAAAAGTCATAATGGTATAATTATTTCAGGTAAGAGAGGCTCCACTCTAGCAAACAAAATCAAATCAAAATGAAAAATCAAAGTAAGGTTAGAAAATGAAAAGTCCATGTTATTGAAAGAGGAAGAATCTGATATCAAATGAAAATCCATAATATGTGTCTATCTCTGGTTAACTATCTGCTATGAGTCATTGTGGTACTGACTTCATACGACAATCAAAATAACCCGGAATACAATTCACTCAAGCAACTAGAATGTGTCCTTAAGATTTTATTCCAATCAATTATTCATTCACATTCTGAGGAGCTTTCAGAATGTATTTTGTTCTAATAAATGGATTTACGATGCATGTTTAATCCATCTGCACCAGGAAGCTGAAACAGCTTCCACAGCTTACATTCTATTTTCTAACACTATTGTTCTCAGCGAAGGTCTGGTGATTATTTTAATAACTTGTTATTATGGAGGCTCTTCTCAAAACTCGGCTGCTCTACCTATGATGACATACACACGGACATCCCTACACACATCCATACTCTCTTTTCCTCTCGCTCCTTCTCCCTGTGGTTATTCTGACCCAAGCCATACTCACAATGTTAGTGACATCTGGAGAGGCTCCGTTCTGCAGCAGAAGGAGGACAATGTTCAAGTGGCCCATGAAGGCAGCCACATGTATTGGTGTGAGGCCAGACTGCGAAACAAAGCAACAGCAGTTTTACTCCTCTGCACCAGTGGGGGCTTTGGGGACTTCTTCAGATAAATAACACTTGAGTAAAGAGGACAGAAGATGGGGGACAGGAAGGGAAAGAAGGAGTAAGAGAAGGAATGTTTCGTGACAGGCTGAAACATTTTTCTACCTCTGTGATAGCTTGGATTGAAGCCCCATATTTCACCAGCAGTTCCATGACTTTGATGCGGTTTTTCTTGCAGGCAATGTGCAGTGGAGTAAAACCATTCTGTGCAAAAGACAATCAAGTTAGTTGAAAACATGCAGAAACGATCCTCACGCAACTCCATGCTGGCACATTGCAGGCAATAATGTTACATCGTCACGTAATGTTACCATTTTTTCAAATGCTGTAGGTGTTGGAAATTTGGAAAGAAAAGTGGTATGTGCTCCCGTAGGCCCCGAACTTTGTTTATATGTGGGGGGCCTGCATAGAATTCTATTCGTGTGGTTACAGAGAAAAACAAAAGTAAAGAACACTGCATGGGCCTCCTTACCAGAAGTTCTGAGATGTTTTAAAGTATACTGATTGGTCAGGTGATGAAATGGCTTGAAGGTGCATGGAAGGTAAACATCTATTTTTCTGATGAAAGACCATTTCTTAGGGCATAAAAACTGTTCACCTGTTTGACTTCAAAACTCTACAAGCATGACTGCCTCTACAATAAATGTTTCAGCTTCGCTAACATCTTCAGGCAGGGGGTGTTGCAAATTAGCAGAAATCATTATTTATGCTAATAATTTTTACCTCCAAAAGTTATATATCTTCCATTAAGAAATTTTTATAAGGAATTGTTGTGTATTAGCAGAAATAATTATGCTGATAATATTTTATATCCAGAAGTTATATTTCTTACATTAAAACATTTTCAGTTTTATCATTTTATAAAGATATGATTATTAAGTTCTTGAATGTTTTCAAGACAAGTATGGAGAATTTCTGGAATTAGTGGAATAAGATATCTCTGAGGCAAAGGAATGTGGAGATGTCTCTAAGACGGTTTTTAACTTTCCAAACTAGGCAATGTGTAGGAATTGGGGGCAATTACATAAAAATTTGTTAATTAGTCCCATGCTTAACCCTTATGTGTAAGTATTATAATTTTATTTGGACAATTATCCCTTTGAACAATTATCATTTGAACAATGATCCCTACATACAGAATGGCTATATCTGTTCTGCCAGTTAGTTACTTTGCTTGTCCGAATGGGGACTGATCATCAGTCAATATTTTTCTACATTAGCAGTTCTCAAGAAAGCATATTGTCTTACTTAACCTAATGACTTATTATTCTTCACGATGTTCAAGTCACTTCCCATTTATAAGCTATGTAGTAAGCCAGGTATAAATAGCCAAATGTATGTGTAGCACTTAAGTGACTTTTAATTATGAGAGTGTAATATTTTATAAGCTTATTGACCACTATCCAAATGAAAGTGAGTATTTTCCTCCTTATAAGAAAATAAATATCCTTACATAATTTCATATAACCCTAAAAATATATTTGCTTCCTGGGCAATTAGGAATAAATTGATTCCAATGGAAAATTTTCTAATAAAAATAAGATTTATTATTTAATACTTCTCATGGCACTCTCTCATTTTAAATATTATCTGAAGACTAATTTAACTGGCATAAACCATGTACATGTATAGGATAAAGGATTGCTTTTAGTTTGAGAATTAGGAAACAAGAGGCATAAATTAGTACATGCCTAATACTCCCAACGATTATTGTTAGAATATAAGTGAAGCAAGGAAGATTTATTCAATATTAGACCTTGGGAAATACATATGCTGCTCTAGGGACAGCCTCTTGTAGATTTCTCTTGAGCAATTCCCATAATAGTTTATATGAAATGTTTCTTGAAGCAGGAAAGTGCTAAGCATCACTTTTCTATTAGACTGTGTTTGGGGAATCAGGTCAGTAAGGAAATTCTCTAAGTGAACTCTTTGCAGGCTTACATTTTACCCTCTCTTAACATGGTCAAACCTACTCAGCACTTTAAAACCATTTTTTTCCCCAAATAGGGATTAATAACATTCAACTTTTCCACACTTTCATTCTGACTTGGTATAGAGGTGTTTAGAATTTATTTTGTGATTTCCTATTTTCAACTTCTATTTTCCATTTAAAAGTGCTTACCACTACAGAAGTTTCATATCTATCTGAAGCTTGCTAGTTGTGGAAATGGTACCTTGGTGTTTTCCTAAATCTATCCTCGCTCACCATCATTTAATAGCAAACTGTGAAGGCATGAGGTAGGCAGGCCACTTGTAGGAGGCAACAAACTTAGCAGAATTAACTTCATATATGTAACCACACTTTGCTGGTGCACCATTGATCAATCACTATGGTATACTGATCTCAGTCTCTATTCTGTTAATGTGGACTAGGCCAGGTTTACCAGAGCTCTGGCGTTTGGATTGGCTCTTTTGTCCAGAAGGAGTTTGGTGACACGGTAGTGGCCACAGTGTGCAGCAACGTGGAGGGCCGTCAGGTAGTCTAGGGTGACATCGTCAACAGGCGCCTTGTGCTGTAAAAGGTGCTTCACACATTCCACATGGTCCCCCTGTGCAGCCATGTGAAGTGGAGACAGCCCATTCTGCATATCGAAAACACAACAAGACCAAGTCCACATTTCAGTCATGACTTCCAGGTTGTGAAACACAGCAAAGTCAATTCTTGATATCTGGTACAGTTGGTAGCAGAGGGAAAAATAATCTCCACTTGACATCTAAATGTATGGTAGACTGTGTGAGGTGCTGAGGGAAGCTAAGAGAACATTTAATTTCATAATTATGCTATTTTAGGCAAAACAGAAATTAATACGTCTTTTGTGAATGAATACATGATATTGTGTGGCAATTCAGATGGCTCTCACAATTCTTAGGGCAATGTTAGATATTTAAAACAAGCGATGGCTGATGCTGAAATTATTTGTATCCGATTCCATTCAATTAATCTCTCTGCAAGATTTTCTTTACTTCTAAATGGGGGGGGGGTGTGTGGATGAAGGAGGAGAAAGTGGGTTCATCAAAGAGAGAAAGATATTTTGATCATCTCTTAGATCCGTGCTGCTCTGAAATTCTAGAATTCCTTTTTTCCTATCATGAGACATGAACTGGACTTGGAGAAAGCAGTCAGGTAAGGGCTGAAAAGTGTGAGACAAATGTGGATCATGTGCCAATGACCTCCCAGCTTTTAAATTTTGAAAATAATATGAATTTATTATCATTGATGGTGCCCAAAACAGCGTTAGTCTTAATTGTCAGAGAAGGTCAATAGCAGGAATGTAAGATAGGAGGGTAATTCACTGAGGATTATCAGTTTAGGTACGACACTCGTTTTAAAATTTAAATAAATAAGCTTATAAGAAAAAACATGTCAAATTAGGGCAGAAACTAAATTAGAAAACATCTGCCCATTAAAAAAGAGTATTTTCTTAATAAGCAATGCAAATACAGTGACTAGGGAATAATTGTTGACCAAGTACCCAGCTTGGAAGTCATTACATTCAAAGAAGTAGAAACTGTGTCTGGATAAAAAGCCAGAATGTGCTGAAGGCCTGATATTCTCAACAAGGAAGGTGATTTCAACAATGAGGGACAACTGAAACCAAATACAGCAAAGTCTTCACTTGTGATTTGTGGGTGGCAGAAGTATGCGGTTCTGAAATTATTAATATACTTTCTTTGTTTTTTAATACTCTGCCCATAATTATTGCTTTTATGTTAAAAAATTCTTGAAATAACTTAGAAGAGCAGGGTGATGAGAAGGTATTTATGCATTGGAGGGGAGATAGCATAAGGGCAAAGTGTAGAAGAAATTCAGGCCTTGGCAGTATCTGGGGTGATGTGTGACATGTGTCTCTGACAGTCTATCAATCTTTAATGTGGTTTTATCCACTTAAAAGTTATGTGGAAAATAAAATCTTCAGCAATTAATTCTTTGTTACATTTCACAAATATTTACTGCATACCTACTTAGGTTCTGATCAAGTACTGAGGGTACAACTAGAAACATAACAGACGGACCCCCTGTCTTCATGGAGGTAACGTGTGGTGGACAGACAATTCAAAAAGAATAAGAATTAAAATATATAGTATGTTAGAAGACCATCAGTGTTTTGTTTTTTTTTTTTTTAATTTTTTTTAACATCTATTTTTGAGAGATAGAGAGAGACAGAGTGTGAGCAGGGGAGGGGCAGAGACAGAGGAAGACACAGAAACAAAGCAGGCTCCAGGCTCCAAGCTGCCAGCACAGAGCCCCATGCAGGGCTTGAACTCGCAAACTGGGAGACCATGACCTTAGCTGAAATCTGATGCTTAACCAACTGAGCTATGCAGGCGCCCCAGAAGGCCACCAGTATTAAGAAGAACACTAAAGCATTGGATGGCCAAGGGAGTTTGTGTATATGAGTGCACTGTGGATAGGCTAGCCAGAAGTAGCCTCGCTGACAAGGTGAGTTTTGGTGAAAGACATGATGACAGTATGAGAGCTGGTCCTGCTCATCTGTGGGAGAATATTTGAGGATGAGGAAAAGCAAATACAAGCATGTCCGGTTGAGACCACCAGCATGACTGATGAAACAGTAGGGAGCAGAATGCAGCTGAAGACATGTGAATAAGAGGAGTGAATAAGGAGAGCAACTCAGGTAAGAGACCTACAAGGCAGGGTAGACTTTTTGATTTCTACTTGGAGGGAGCTGGGATGCTTTTGGAAGGTTTAAGACAACAGGATTACTCTGGTTGTTCTGTTGAGAATATACCGAATGGGGTTAAATGAGAAAAAGGGAGTCAAATTAGCATCTCTTGCAATCATTGAGGTAGGGTTGATAGTGATCTAGACCAGGGGGGTGGTAATAAGACTGTTAAGAAATTGCTGAATTATGAGGTATTTTGAGGGAAGACGTGACAAGGTTTAGTGATAGGATATGAAGAGAGAGGAGAGTCAAGCACTGCATGATGTATTTGACCTGTGAAACTGAAAGAATGGGATAATAAACATCATTTGAGATCAAAAGACTACAAGAAGGATTAGGAGCAGGGGTGAGGGAAATATCAGCAGCTGAGTTTTGAACGTACTAAATTTGAGATGCACAGTAGACATCTATGCAGCAATGGTAAGTTGACATCTACAATATAGAGCTCTGGAGATACATAGATGTGTGTCATCAGCGTATAAGTTGTATTTAAAGATGAAACTGGATGGGATTTCTTAGTGAGTATGGATAGACAAATAAACAAAGTGAGCTCTGGAGGTTCTAACATTCAGCGACGTGGGAGGGAAGAGGAGACAGGCAAGGAGACTAAGCAGAAGGAAAGACAGAGGGGTGTAATGTCCCAGAAGACAAATAAGGAAAGGAAAGTGTTTTGAGAAGAGAGGAGCAAGCAACTGTGTCAGACGATAGCAAGAGGAGAGAACGTAGACTATATGGACAGATTCACGTAATTGGTAGATAGAAAGACAGGAGTCTACAGAAATTATCTTCTGATTACTTCAGTTTTGTCAGTGCTGTGAGAAGTGACAACAGAGAAAGAAGTCTAAAGAAAGAAAAAAGTATAGAACAGTCAGGTAACAGGGAGTAAGAGCGAACACACTTGGGAAACATATCGTGATTGTCAGGCAGCATTAAAGGTCAACTTGAGGTGAGCAATTATGAATTTATAGTGAACCCAGTCAGTACGGCCGGGTGTATTCTGCCACCACACTCAGCTGCAAGATTTGATCAGGGTCAAATATAGCAAGTGAGCATGAATATGTCAGGGAGTGATATGAATGATTATGCTGGGCAAAAGTGAGGGCATAAAAGTGAATGAGGGACAGTAAAACAGTGGCTGATGGACTCAGAAGAATAAACACATTTCTAGAGTTGGGGTTCCAGAGAAAAGTAGCTAAAACATACAGGGGTGTTTGGAGAGTCAGAGGTTAGACACAGAAAGGGGGGTTTACACAGGGTTTACAGTTACCAAATTGAGAGGCCAACCAGAAAGGTCATCTACAGCTGTGGCCAAGATCATTAAAGTCATCATGTATTAGAAGAGGGGTTGTGGTGAAGAGTCAGTTTGCCAAGAGCTAGCATTTTCAAAGAATGGAGGGGGGGAGTGACTAGATAGATGAATATTTGCTTCAAGGAGGAATAATGGATGATTCAAAACCAGGAGTTTTATGTAAGAGGAAGAATAGTCTGGCATTAGGTGCCTATTCCACTCACAGGCTTATGGTATCAACTTGCCAACCTGATTAGTTCATCTTCTCTCTGTTCTTTACCCTGAACATAGCTCTACTTTTTGTTATTATCTCCTTATCTATCTTACCCACTCAATTTTGAGCTTCTTGAACAAACACTGTGTATTATTTACCTTGATAGTTCCTTAGTGATCAGAACACTGCCTGGCACGTTGTAGCTACTCACTATGATAATTGTATGCATGGATGAATAAATGACTGAATAAATGAGTAGATACAATCATGCAGTCACAGATACTTTATGCTACATCCTTACATATAAGTGATATTTGATATTATAAGAAAGCCAGTAAAAAATTCATCTAGGTAATCCATTGTCTTCATTAGTGACATGACAATTTTAGGTGAACTCTGTAGACAAGACTATTTTATAGTTTGTGGAAAAGCAAATCTGTCTGTTCTCAATTTGATATATGTTTTTTATTGGTTGCAACATGACTGGTGAAATTTTGTTATTTTCATTTAAATTTCAATAAGTTTTCTCCACAAAACTTTCTACAATTATCTCTGCATTATCCAGCCCAAAATGTCACATTTTAAAGATAAAACTCTACAACACTCATGGTATCAGTATGAGAATGAAAATAATACATATGATTTGAAACTACCATTTCATGGCCTATAGGGCACAGCTTTAAAGATTAAGTTCATTCTACACATATTTTAAATATGTGGGCTTGGTTTTGCTCCAAATAATTTCAAATAAATATTCAATTAAAATATAATACAAAAAAAAATTGCTTATTTTGGCTGTCTATTCTTCTCAGTTTACCCTAGTAAAAGCATCAGTTGGTGCCAATCCTGTTCAGGGGCTCGGCGAGGTAGAATAGAGAGAAAACATAAGAAGTGTCCTTTGTCTAAATTTTTCTTGTGTTAAGGATCCAATTGTTGCATATGCTATAAAATAGTTCTGTGTGATTATTTTTTATCTGTATCTCATGATATTCCTTGGTAACCCAAAGAGTGACTAGAAAATGGGGACTTGCACAGTAATAATGCTTGTAAAATACATTTTGTAATGAAAACCTCCAACAAATCAGTTCCCGGTGCAGGTTTTGGTTAGAGTTTTCTTCATAGTTGAGCATATAGATGAAATAAGACAAGAAATGCTAGATGTACTGTGCCATAGAGAATGTTAGGCTTCTTTAATGGTTCTTCGAAGATGGCCTATCCTAAACTGTGCTTTCCATGTCATCTACTAATCCTAAATACAATCATCCAACACCATTGATAAGTAATTCTTTTTACTAGTATTGCCTAAGAGATAAAGATTAGAGAGCCAAAAGAATATCTTGTATTGCTAATTGTGCTACTTTAAAAGACAATTTTATATGTATTTTATAGCATCCCACAGAATCATAAAAGTACAGACGTATAGAATGTAAGGAATATTCTCATTTATATACAATATACTCATTTACATATAATAGAAATATATTCAAATTTCCATCTGTGGTAAAAATATAGAAAGAACTTGAAGGTATACATTCAATACATTTTAATGCCTGTATTTTTTAGTTTTAAATAACTTTAAAACAGTTTGATATACACTCCTCATTTCTAGCACGCAATTGTTGAGTAATTAGGAAATACTTGATTAATGCTTTGATTTCAAGAAGAAAAGACATATTCAAAAAAGTGGCTTAAAGAGTTCTTTCGACCCATCTTACCCATAATGACCCACCTTAGTCCTTGCCAGCAAGGGAGCACCCCGTTCCAACAGAAGTTCTACCACTTGGTCATGTCCACTTCTTGCAGCACAGTGAAGGGGTGTCAACCCATCCTGTCCAAAGAATTGAAGAATTAAGCCTGAGTTAACGTAAACACACACACACACACACACACACACACACACACACACACAAAGATCGCCTCTTATGCCACTTCAAAGAGAAGGTTTCCTGAACTTGTTCCTAGTGATTCAATACATCAGTAATAGAACTGCTATTAGTTAAATGATAGAGGAGAAGAGTGAGAAGAAGACAAGACAGTGAGAGATCCTGACAGAGGGCAAGAGAGAGAAAAAGAAAGATAGGGATGAAACAGAGTGAGGGTGTAGGCAAGCGAGATCTCACATGCAGAGGCTCAATGTAAAAACACATGTTGTTGGCCCTGTGTTTCCCTGTTTGGGAAGATGGAAAAGCAGAGTTTGTTGCATTTGTCAAACTTGAAAACCCTACTTGCTTGAAACTACAACCAGATGTTATATCATTAAACTATTTTCATTTTGGTTGCCCTAACACAATTTTACCCCCAAATTCTTCTTAACCTAATTTGTCCATCTATGTCATCTCTTGAATTGTTACTAGTTTTATAAATTCTCCTAAAATGCTCCCTGCTGCTCATGAGAAGAAAGTCATGTTTTTCACATTCTTCTAAAGGTTTCCACATATATTTTTCAACATTTTAAAAACTACATAGTTATTTCTCAGAGGTGAAATTTGTTATTAATAATAATAGCATTAAAAAGGTGTCAAACAGAATTATGGCACAACTGTGTGTTACGTTACTTATAAAACTTTCAGACCTTGATGCTTCTCAGGTAGTTTCTGATTCCAGAGAAATCCTCAAATTCCCTCTGTCTTTTGGATTTTATTTCTCTTTAGGGTGAAATGGTCAGAGAGCAGAGTGCATGGGTAATATCAGGCAAAATGTACGAATGATGGGTAAGAAGTGAGAGAGAAAATGAAATCCTGAGTACATAAATTAACTAGAGATTTCAAGCTTAAGGGAAAAAAAAGATTGTCATGGGGAAAGACATTGAGAAGGTAGGTAGCATTCAGAGAAAATGAGGGATGGGGACATTAAGAGGACTTCAAAAGCTGAATTTTCCAGAACTCTAATAGCTTATCTTTTGTGTCTCTGTTTCCAGGACCATTGTTCTGAATTATGTTTTCCCCCTAATAAATATAAGTCATCTGAATCACAACACTCTTCCTATCCCAACATTCTGGGATCCTATGCTAGGTATTTTCCCTTCACCTTCCAGATCCACGCTCTACCTTTCTCTCCTCTGCTCCACGTCGGACAGAAAGAACTCTAGATTGTATTGGTGAGCCACCTTGCCCTCTGGCTTCTGGTTGACTATGGAAAATGCAGCAAGACCTGAAGCCACTCTGTAAAGGATCTCCTTAGTCTGGCTGTGTCTCTTTACCAAATATTATGCTCCTGCCAAAGCAGCCTCCATCATGTAGTTTTCTCCTTTGAAGTTCTGGCAACCTACTTCTCACCTTGCAGGCCTAGGGTTGGTAATGAGCCCTGCTGTTGGTAGCTCTGGGGATACTCTACTATCCTTTGTGCCTTCCCTACAATCCACCCTCAATGTTATAAACAGATCCTTTAATAAATCCATATTCAAATGATCATATTTGAACATGCACTCTGGTCCTGGCTAGGACCTTGAGTTATTTGTCAGCGGAGAGCCCAAGGTGGGGTTCAAACTCAGGCACCACAAGATCATGACCTGAGCCGAGATCAAGAGCCAGACACTTAACTGACTGAGCCACCCAAGTGCCCCGGTCTAGAACCTTGAATTATAATGATACTTTGCTTTGTTAAATCTCCTTAGCTAGTATTAAGATACTGAATATCCAAAATAGACCTTGCAATTTTAGATATGTAGGAATTAGCACGAAAAGACTGCCTTTCCAGAAAAAAAAAAGTATTTAACTACTGTAGTTGGGATGCCAAGTTATTTTAAAGTTTGCCAGAGAGGAGTCTAAAAAAAGTAACTGTGCAGGCAAAGCGATTAAGATGATTGTGCTTTTGTATCTTGATAACATACCTTGTGGTTAAAGTACAGAGCGTTAGTTGCTACTTAATTTATATAACTATTAGATATAGCTTGATTTCTCAAACATATTCTTGGTGGGGGCTCCATGGAGAACTAGAGTTTGAGAAATCAACTGTAGTGAATGAAGGCATTATATGCAATGGTCCAGCAAATGGGCTCTGGAATCAGGGAGCTTCAGGTGTGAGTCTCAGATCAGCCACTATGGATATTCTCTGTGAGGCTCAACTTCACAATACATAAAATGGGGATAATTCTTCTTATCCTGTTTAACTTACAACCTTTGTTTGAAAGATGAGGGGACTCTGCCTTAAATCGTTTTTAGAATAGGTATTTTTCCTACAGAATACATGAAATATTCATTGTATAATCATGTTGAAATCTTCTGATATTCTCAGAATAACAATAGGAAAATATAGAGAACACTTAAAAACACACAAGAACGTCAAAGAACAGTAAGGATTACATTGATTCTAAATCTGATGCAATTTATCTACCCTTATCAAGGATATGGGAATTATACTAAATTCAAGTTTCCCAACATGCTCAATCTGAATAGATTTTACATATTTCCTATAAGTACAGTGTCTCATTATTGCCTGCCACCCCCTGAATCTTACCAAGGTTTTGTGTTCCAGGACTTTTTTGTTTACTTTTTTCAACTCCTAGGGGCAATGATCTGTTCAATACCTTTTTTAACTTAAATTCTTAAGACCGTATTTAAAGCTTACATTCCTCCCCTCCCACAGTTCCTTTCCTTTTGTTCTTTTTCTTTCTTCACTAGAATCAGTTCATATCACACCATGATGTTGATAATCCCTAATAGGTTAAATCAATCAACATTAGAGGGACACCATTTTTCCAGTTGATAGCCCACAGCATTAGCTTTTTACAACCAGTTCTTTCCTTATCTTTTCCCTTCCTCCCCTCTGCTTAGATTGTAGATGTAGCCTGAAGTCTGTGTATGAACACAGGCTCTTGTAATTATTACCCTGTGTATCCTAGGTCAAGTTACATAACTCCTCTGAAAGTCACTTTTCCCGTTGGGAGTCTCATTTCTCAAATGAAGGCCTCCACATTTTCTCAACAAGCAGATAATACACACTTCATAAACTGTTAGGAAAAGGAAATAAAATATTTGTAGAGTACTTAGCAGGGGGCCTAGAACAGTGAGCATATGACAATTGGTGGCCACTATTGCTGTTGCTTTAATAATTATGAACACTTTTTCTGATATATTGGTTTTTGTTCATCATCTTTTAATGTTTTTGTATACTTTCATCGTTTGCATTGAAACATGCATTTCAATAATTTAACCTTATATGGAGTATCTCCACATATAAATAATATATAAGTTTAAAAATAAAGACAGAATAATGTTCTTAATAAAACCTGGATTAGTAATACCATTTTAAACCAGCTATGAAATTCCTGTTAATGTTTTTAACATTAACGTGAGATTTTTCAGATAGCAGAAAACCGAGCTCTGGTGAAAATGTCTCAGGTTCCCACTAGATCCCAGTCAATGATGAGAATGTCAATGACATGCACAATGTCTCAATGATTGACAAAGTGCTGGCAAAAGTGGGAAAGGATCAGTGGGCAAGATTTTTTTTAATTACCTGAAAGCCTCTACATATTCTGCTTTTCTCTAGATAATGAAAACCATATATACAAGATTAACAATGAGAAGATCAGGTGGAAAATCCTTGATAGAATATACTAGATTGAGAATGTTTACGACTAGTATGTTTGCTACAAGAAACTGAGATCTCTATGATAAAAAATGAAAAAAAAATATTATTCTTAATTCCTTATGTAGAGCCTCCATTGTACTACCTAAAAAGCAGTCAACAGTAAATGTAAAATTTTTCTGTTTTAAAATATACTTTCAAAAGACAAAAGAGAAAGCTAACCAGATTCCTTTTACTTTAATAATAAAATGTGATAGTTGCAGAACCAGCCTCCAAATTCCAGACCGCAGTCCTTGATTTCAGTACTTGACTTTGCCTTTGGTAAGAAAGATATAGTTGTTTTAGTTACAGCCAGAATTAAAAGAATTCAATTGCTTTTAAAATCCTACTTCTTAGAGATAAGGAAGTATTTTAACTTACGGCAGGAAAAGCTCAGTACCACCATTCAATACTGTTCTGTACTCAATCCTGGGGTGTGCCCGAGCCAACCCACACAAACTAGTGAGAGCCAAGTTTTTGCACATCTCTTCCCAATTTTGTATTCAGTGATACCCTATTGGTAGCTCTCACTGGCCATGATGGAGGTATGGGGACTATTTACACTACAGAAGTCAGCAAAGGCAAAAGCTCCAAATCAGAGTTTGCTTTTTGAAAGCCAATTAGTAAACTTTTACTAGCATACTGCTAATCTAATTCTTTGGGTACTATCGATTTGCATCTCTGTGAGTAAAGGGACCTAGTCTATCATATTAACTGCTGTATCTCTAGGCATTAAGTAGGAACTCAAAAACTATCTGTTTAGGGAATGAATGAACAGAAGATCCACACGATGTATACAATTATAAAATCTACTTTTTGATTTATAAGTTCTTGAATGAAATTCAACTTATTTGTATATCTAAAAGTTTCATTGGATGAAATACAGCCCAAATATTCCTTTTACAGAAGAAACCAAAGCTTATATTTGATTAACTTGCTCAAGAACAATTAGTTAATGGCAGAACTAGCATAAGAATCCATTTCTCTCCATATCTTAGTATGCTTTTTATGAAAACGCACTCCCTAATTGGAGTTAGACTTAAATTACATATGCAAATGTATGTAGGCTATGCAAATTAGAGCATCTTTTAAAGAACTAAGCAAATATTGCAATGATCGATAAGAACAAAATCACTTGCCTCAAAATGAATGAATACTCCAGAAAAATACTAACAAGAGCATGCGGATTTTGAAGACATTGGCCAAGATAAAATTCTGTTGCATTTGCCAAGTGCTTTCTTTCCATTGGTACTCTCAATTATTAGAGAGTCTCAATAGAAATGGAGAGGTAAGTGTAAAGGGAGACATTATGTTAATAACATATTTAAAAGAGGAGGCACAGAAACTGTCCTTTAAAAATGAAAAACAAGTAAGCAAGGCATGAAACACTGTGCATAATTGTTCCAAATTCTGCATACCTACAGCACAGCAAGGGAAAAGGCATGCCAACACAGCAAAGAGTAGAAATCATATAAAACTCTAATGCAAAGACAGTAGACACTACAACAAAGATCTTGACAGACAAAGGAAACCACTCTAGAGTTCCCACATGATAATATGACGTCGATGATCTGGATCAAATGTCTTAGAGAAATGAGATTATGAAAGCAACAGTTCCTGAGGTCATTAAAAAACAGAATGTACAGTCTGGGACTGGTGTAGTTCTTAGAAGCACAAAGATGATAAGGCTAATTAAATAAAAGCATTTGCTAGCCTCAAGATTTGCAAAAGAACTAGATTTGATCCCTAGTCCTTTGACTCTGAAAATATAAAGTCCCAGGATTAAACAAAGTGAATAAAATATCACAAGGGATACATCCTATTCCCCAATCTTTTATAGACTTCTTACACCACTGTGTATTTGAAAATGTTCACATTATAGGAATATTTAAAATTTTGCTGAAGTCTATGATTACGCAAATGTATTCCAGAGAACGAATATTGAAGTACTGGTTTAATGTTTAAGCAAGTAACTACTTATTTTTTTTTTAATTTTTTTTTTCAACGTTTATTTATTTTTTTGGGACAGAGAGAGACAGAGCATGAACGGGGGAGGGGCAGAGAGAGAGGGAGACACAGAATCGGAAACAGGCTCCAGGCTCTGAGCCATCAGCCCAGAGCCCGACGCGGGGCTCGAACCCACGGACCGCGAGATCGTGACCTGGCTGAAGTCGGACACTTAACCGACTGCACCACCCAGGCGCCCCACAAGTAACTACTTATAGTTCCAGTAACATAATAAAAAATTATGAGTAGCTAAGTAATTGACCCCCCCACACACTTTTAAAAAAATAAGAATCTAAGAGTTAATTCTCATACAACCATATGAGATAGGTTACCAACAGTAGCCTAAGTTCAGAGAAGATAGTAAGTCAACTGCCAATATCATACGGCTAGTAAGTTGTGGAAGTAAAATTTGAAATCAGGTAGTCAGCCTTCAGAGGCTGCGCTTCTAACAGTTGTATTCTCCTGCCTATCTTATTATCTATTTGTTGGGAGTACAGAAAATCAGAATTACATTTTACTTAACAAATTTGAAGTGAATGAAGGGCACTGACTTGTATCAAATTGGATTGACTAAAGGTGCAATCTAATAACTATATGCCTTTGTTCCATAAGCATACAGCAGATTGTTTGTTCAGGTCAGTATAGTATGACCACCTAAGAAAAACGATCTAAAAATTGGAAAGTTAGAAGCAAAGGATTGTCAACATGTATTAAAATATTTTATGTAAAAGCCACAATCTCAAAGCTTAATGTATTTTTATGAGTTTGGGTTTTTGAAAGGTACAGCTGATAATCAGAGATGCTTCCGTTCAATCTTTGATCTTTGTTCCCCAAAATAAGCATGGATTTAAAAAACTGTCTCATTGAGGAGCTAGCATTCTGTTTCTTCAGCACTTACGAGCAAATATTAATTTCACTTTACAATGAGAAACCTTTAAATATTGTATGAAATTTAAATTGAATCCAAGAAAGCAATTTCCTTGAAAATGCATTGTTTATATTTAAGCACCGGTATTTTAAGGTGCCTGCTTCAAGAATACAAAAAAACAAAAATGGTAGGAAATTCAAAGAACAGAGACACTCACCCTAGTTTTGGCATCGATCTGACCACCACGATCCAGTAAGAGCTTCACCATGTTTGTGTTTCCCCTTTTGGAAGCCACATGCAGAGGGGTGATTCCATTCTACACCATGGGAAGACGAAATAAGAGCATGTTGGGTATGACAGGGCATGATGGTGAAAATTTTGTGTTAAAAGGCACAAAGAAGGTTGTGACCCATGTGGTAATTTGATTCAAGGTTTTTAAAGTTTCATGTCTTTGATTTTTAAGGAACAAAAAAGCACACAAACCACAAAGCACTATAGTTAGAGAATGAAAAATGGAATGAAGCTGCATAATTAAGTTTGTCTATAACCACAACATATGAATTGAATGTACACATTACATTGTACACATTGTCAAGGGACAAAGGGAGCACTTTCGCATAATAAACAAAATTTCAGATTCTACTTAGGACAGAGCTCTAGTCCAAAGTCTACCGCTCTTTCTAAAATATCCATGAACTGAAAGATTCTGACATCTTAAAGTTTCCTATACTTAAAAACAGGATATAAATATACATATTCAATAACCGTTAAAAAAAAAGATTCTTAAAAACATCTTCTTCAGAATATTTCAGTATGAAAAACAACTTGTAAATAACTCGACACAGTTTCAATACAGAAGACTTCTCAGGGCCAAAAACACCATATATATGAATTGTAGTTATTTATTTTATTGGCTATCGTATATCATCATTATGGCAAAAATAGGTACCTAATTTTTTATATGTCGTAATTTTGCAAATATTCAAATATTGCATTTACTGATTCATACTGAGTACACTGACTTTTGTAATTAGCATGTAAGTGAATTCTTTCAGTGAAAGCATACCATTAAACATATAATGCAACATGATGTCTTGTTATGTATTTTGGTTAGACTCTTTATATGAGCACATTCTCAATTCATTAAAAATATTTTTCTGTCAAATTATATGCCCCATAATGATCATAACACTGTATAAATGTTCTTTTACATTTGATAATTAATGTTTTAACAGTTTAATTGTTTATTGACTTGAAGTTGCTCATTCATGATTCATGGAGTGATCTTTAAATATAACTACTCACACTGAGGTCAGAACTAATATCCTCCTTAACTACTACAAATTATTTGTGTGCCTGTGAATTTACACATTCTTATTTTTCATTTATTGGGTCATGATGATGTGCTATGATGCAAAGAAAAAAAATGAAAAATCTAATATATCCAGCATAGATTCAGTCAAGGAAAAAAAAAACTTTATTGTTATTCATTTTTACTTTAATAAAATTCTCATTTACTGCTATCTAACATGAGAAACTATTTTAAACCATACCCTCGCTGTGAAGTCCACAGCAGCTCCCCGGTTTAGAAGAAGAGTTGCCACGTTGACATTTCCATAGTGGGCGGCAATGTGCAAAGGGGTAAAACCACTCTATGGAAAGCAAAGAGAATAACAGTAAATCATTTCACCTCCATCTGTTATAGTCCCTGGATTAGTGAAGAAAATCACACATAATTGTCTACCTAACATGTGAGCAATACAATTAAGATAATAAATGCTTTAATAAAGCTCTTTAACTTTTAGTATTACAAGATAGTAAATAACTAAGGCTATAAGCAGGTAAATAAATACCCTATGTTTCTTGGCAACATTATTTGTAATTAGCTTCATGATTTATCTGTCTATGAGATTTGTTGTTTATACAAAACCATGTATCTTGAGTTGGTTAAGCTTTAGAGAAAAACAGAATATGATTAAACAACATAAGGTTTCAGCCACAGAATTCACATAATTATGAATTAAAGATTTTTTCTTCAGAGAAAGACATAAAACTATAGTTTTGTTTAGTTTGGGGATTTTCAATTAAAAAAGAAACCAACATTAGTTGACATTGTGTCTTTGGAACAATGAAAATATTGTGAGAAACTTTTACAGAGGTGTACAATTCATTCCACATCATTTACACTGTCATGATATTTCTGTCTTTTCTAATAACTGTTTAGTGAGACTATGCTGTTATAATGAAAAAAATTAAAAAAAACAAAAATTAAATAATATACCTGGCATCAATGTAAATATAAAATAAAGAAAAAAAAATTTAGCTGAACACAATTTTGAATGTTAATTAAACCAAATTTTATCAATAATATTGACATAAAATAATAAGCAAGTTAAATCAAATGTATGGACATTAGAGAACTGTTTACTTTCAGAATTTTTTTAATGTTTATTTATTTTTGAGAGAGAGAGAGAGAGAGAGTGTGAGTGAGTGAGAGGCAGAGAGGGGGATAGACAGGATCCAAAGCAGGTTCTGCGCTCTCAGCGCAAAGCCCGATGAGAGGCTCAAACTCATGAACTACAAGAACACGACCTGAGCAGAAGTCAGATGCTTAACCAACTGCACTCCTACTCTCAAAATATTTAAAAAATGAATCTGAAAACCTTCATGGAAGAAAAGTATACTTTCTTTCATTCCTTATTCTGATGAAATTTAGTTAGAAATTTTTGCCATTTTCACAAAAGAAGTATATTTACTCTTTCATTATTAAAATGCTAAAAAATCTATTATTCTTGCTCTCCATAATTTCATAATTCTCATTACTCAATAAAAGATGAGAGGAACAATAAAGACTGTTCCTATAGAATTGGATATCAAATCCTGCAGCTTTGAGGTTAATTTGTATCATTCCCTTTTATTTGAAATGAACTTTGAGGTATATAATATTGTTTTTAAGAAATATTATATGAATCACAACCATTATTTTTCTATTCATTTGATAGTTTTTGTTGATTTTGCTTTTTAAATGGACTAAATAAGCATTCAGATATCTTAGGTAATGGAAATTCCTCCCTGCTATCAACCAAATTAGCTACAAATGATTTCTAACTGTAGAGAAACAAGACACAAAATAATAATAGTAACTATCAATCCAAATCCCACACTTGAGGTAAAGATATTTTTGTGTCTACAGGATGCCAAATACTCATGTCAAAACGGAGGGAAACATGAATCTAAAACCTGGCTGTTATTTTATAAAATGTCAAATTTTTATATTTTAGGAAATAATTGACTGGAAGTTTTTCATTTGTATCTTGATAGTTCCTGCCACCTAGACATATCCTGAATGTAAGTCTACCATTTAAGTTACAATTTCACTTCAGGAAAAGAACGTAGTGATTGCTGGTGAATCATTTTCAAATTATTTTTCTGATTTGCAAAAATAAACCAATTTATTGTCTGACACAGCCTCATCAACCGTCCATGAGGATGCTTCAGACTGTGACTCTTGGATCGACATGTGGCTCGTAGAAGCCCCTCAGAGAAACTCTTGCCTGGTTACCATGGAGGTAGAAAGCTCAGTTCACTTTTCTACAGGGGAATCAATGGAAGGGCTCCCCTCTTTGTTACTCTATTATCCTCAGAGAAATATTTCTAACTCAGTACGAATCTTCCCAAACTGCTGCTTTCAATACAATGTTTACAGCCAATATTGCTTTCAAAAACATCTCTTAAACAACCACCAAAAATCACCTACAAAATTAAAGTTATTAAAACCAGCAATTAAGATATCAATTTATATGTTTCTAGTCTTGAGAAATTTCACCAACCAATTGGGCCTTTTTAAAAAAAATCTATGACCTAAGTCCCATGTACAGATATGGAACAAAAGAAATAATATGACTAATTCAAATATATTCATATCTCAATAGGTACATTTGTTAACAAACAAGATTTTAATTTTACAAATACTCTAATACTACTAAATACCAAATGAATGCTCAAAACCTCTCTAGATCCACAGCCCAGTGATCATGAGAGGTTAGTCTACAAAGTCCCCTCAACTAAGTGAAAATCAATCTACACAGTCATTTGCCTTTGAATACTGGTTAATTTTTATCATATACTTTCAACAATAGAAGGCATCTCAGTAGCAATGGTCGAAAGACTACACACACACGCACACACACTACTGAGAGACTTCTGAACTGAATATTCTTGGTGATCAATGTGACTTACTTTGGTATGTGGAAAATAGATAATTTCATGTCAAGTACTGTTAAGACTTAGCAAGATAAAAGCAAATGCTTCGATAATAATATGCTCGGTATCACTATTGATTATATGCAATGTGGTTTAAAAAGTACAGGAAGAAAAGGGCAACTGCAATGAGATAAGAAGATAAAACAGTTGCAAAGAAACCTCCTTAAATTTCACTTTGCTAAACTCTAAGCAGAGAAATTTCATTAAGAGAAGGTCATATCTCTTACTGGCAAAAAGTTAACAGTAAAGCTAACTCAGTAAAATACATATTAAGGAGCTCTGTTTCATGCTCTACTCTAGTAAGCTATTTAAATACTTTCACTGATTTAAAAAAACATCAAATACATATTACATTAAAATTTTTGAATTATTCATTTGCCTTAATTATGGGAAAAGTCTCTAAAATCAATTTCCTAATAATGGAAATTCCAATCATTAGTAAGAATTAGTGAGCATTTATTCTAACTGGGCAAAAAAGTAAAATAAATAAAAACAAGGTATATTTTGGTATAACCACAATACTGTACCTCGGTGGTCCTATTCACCATCATCTGAAGCAGTGTTGTGTGGGAAGAAGAGGGAAGATATTACACAGTGCAAAATTAAGTAAACGGTCAATCTGCTCACTGCAACTGGATACACTGTTCCAAAATACATTCTACTGAGAAAAGACATCCGTAATGCTATCCATACAATACAATTTTACCTTTCTAATTCCATTTCTTATTCCATACCTTTCTTATTCCATACCAATAGAATAAGTAAGCAGATTTCTAAAAAGCTGAACCCCATCTTTAAGAGACAATTATCTTAAATTTTGTTGTTATTATACCCAACAGCCGGTCCCCTTCTTTCTGAAATACCTCCGACGGTAATTTATCTCTTAGGATGACCGGAAGTAATTTTGCATCATCACCATGGCCTACTTCTGTATCATCCCCCAGGAGGAAGCTGGCAGCCGGAGAGTTCCTGTCCACAAATGTGTTCAGCTTTTACCTTGGATTGTACGTCAGCGTTGTGATCGTTCTGAAGCAGGAGTGCGGCAGATTTGGTGTCGTCTTTCCTCGCTGCGATATGCAGAGCCGGCAGCCTCACTTTCCCTTTGGTGTCATTCTCCAAGAGGATGGCCACTGCCTGGTTGTGTCCTTGCTGGAGTGCCACAGCTAGTGGCGTAAAGCCATCCTAGCAAAATAGAAGGAAAAACCCTCAATTAAATTTTGGAAGCATGGGATTCAACTGTAAGCAATGCCTCTAATGTTTAAAATAAGAATTAGGATGGAGAAGAAAAGCAAAGGGATTAAATATTCCTGTGAAGATTAAAGCAGATGATCAACTGTCCTATGCTGTACTATGGACTGGTTTCATCAGATTATTTTCCTAGCTTCTGTTCTAAATATTTTGAAAAACATCTGCATTCCCTAACAAAGCATACTTCACATAAGGTGAACTTAAATGTATGTTTAGAATGGGAAAATAAAAATCGGAACCAACGTTAAGTATACAGGCTAATCAAAAGGAAAAAGTGGGAAGGGTTGGAATAAGAGAGACCAAGTCTGACTGAGAAGCAAAGATACAGTAGCTAAGACAGGGAAATAAATTCTGTAATTAAATATGCAAGCTTCTAAATGTCTCTGTATCGATTAGGGGAGAACAATAATAATTATCAATGGAATGGGCTATTACCAATTAATGTGGCAAATTTGAAACATAATGTAACCTAAAACTTTTTGATAAATAAGGCTAGTTCATTAATTATATACTTCATTGAATTTTATTTTACTTAGATCATTTAGATACAATGTGCTAGGTAATGAAAAAACAGATTTTTAATTCTCAACTTGGCAACAAGTTAAAAAAAAATAAAACAATAGCACAGATCATCAAAGTTAAAGGAATTTTAAGGGTAGATGGATAACCATGCTTGTAAATTTGGAAACTATGTTTTCTTTCTAGAAACAAGTATTCAGTTAGTAGAAAGGTGACAAATAGAAAAAAATCTATATATATATCATATATATCCTAGGCTCTGTGTATTTTAAAACCTCCCTTACTCCACAAAAACTTGAAAACAAGTCTCAGAAGTTTCCATTCATAGAAGAGATGAGGACAATAAGATTGTATATTAATGATTACATTTTAGAGACAACAGCAATTTACCATAATCTAACTACTCGATTTGTTTTCAATGATAACTTTTTTAAACTGTAGGGTTTTGAGAAAAAGTGATTTCCTATAGCACTACCACAAAAAGACTTGAATTTGTTTTAATAAGAATTGAATTTTAGATAAACACATTACTTAATAGAATGTAAGAATACAACATGTAGCATTGTAAAATGAAAAATAGTAGCCTAAATTTAGAACTTTGGCACAAATTAAGTTTTCTGTTGAGAAAGAAAGAACAGGCTCATTATCATATACATATTCGATTATCCCCTGCAACACTGTGATAGTTTATATGAAAAGAGTATGAACTTTGTTTTTGTTTTTTCTTAGAGACAAGGCATTTGCTGACAGTACAGAACCTAATGAAAAAGTTTTTAGCCTTCAATTTTGGTAATGTTCAGGAAGAAGGAGAGTTAAGAGTTATAAAATTAGTACTGGAGGGACAGAGAATTCCCCTAAAAGAATTTAACTTTCAATGTCTACCACATGGATTTCATTCTATTCTATGCTTCATGAGGGAGGGATGAATATTTGAAATGATTTTTTCAAGCGCCTCAACTAACTCCATGAAAAAGGAAACCCATATGAAAATTCAGTAGCTTCATTTTTCATCGTTTACTTACCAATGCTAACTGCTATAATTATGGGAAATTTCAAATATTTAAAGATTTATTTTCAAACATGAGTTTCATGGAAGTATTGAATAATCTCATGATTATCTGCTTTTTAAAGTGGTCACAATGTCTTGATTAGTAGTTAATTTTTACAAATTAGGGCTACTTTTGGGCACAGAGGAAAGGTCTTCTTTAGGCATATTCACACGTGTGCACATGAGACTGTACAAGGTATCTGGCAATACAATATAAAATATCAAACAGTAATCAGTCCTAAAGCCCTGGAAACATGGTAGGTTTTACAGAACGATAGACTAAAAGGGAATGTCCATATGCGTGTTACTTGATAATCATTAGGGCCAGCAAAGGGGAGGGGGGAATTAATCAACTAAGCTTATATATGTCCAGTCAGTCAGAAATTAATTCTAGTTATTTAAGTGATTAAAAACTTAAACAACAAGCATAAACATGTCTAAGCTAAGCTTCAAACCTCATACGATTCCCTCGCAAAAGCTGCATTTTTGTGTAGAAATCAGAGAGGGTTTTCATTTTTTGAGAATCACAGTGCAACATGGCTTCTGCTGATGCAGTGTATATAAAGGGATATTTTTTGAACCAGACTGAAATGTGACAGAGAGCTACACCAAAGGAGCCTTGAGACAGCTATGAATACCAGCAAGCAGAATTTCTCTAAACCATACACTAGAAATAATAAATCTATCCGGTGACTAGAACTCTGGACTGTGATGGTTTCTTGGGGGAAGTGATTCTGCATTCAAGAAACTAAAATAAAACAGACACAGATTTCCTTATTTTGGTACATTTCTCAGTTGTCCTGATACAGAGATAGAGTCTCACATAGTTACTCAAGATTTACCTGAAGATAGTCATATGCTACTCATTGACATAATTAGTGTCTCAGGAAAAAAGAAAAAAAAAAAGGCCTCAAATCATAAAAATCACACTTTACCCACATGGTAAGAGTGTAAAATCTGTGTGATAAATACAGAACTTGAAATCATTTTACATTGGGCAGTTGTGTTTTCCAGTCATAAATAAGAAACATGGCCCCATTAATAGTGGTTTCTTGGGATTTTTTTTTTTTAAGTAATGAGAATAAGCTGTCAGAAAGTTATTGCAATTGGCTCCATAAAAAGTTTTCTGCCAAAGGGACTGGAAATGGATTTAATAGATTATGATGATCTCTTCCCCCAGGGCAGGATAGAAAGGAATTCATGTTTATTTCACCTAAAGACTTAATCGTTCAGAAAGAAAGGAAGTCCTTAATAGACGTTAAAAGTTACCAACTTAGTTTCTGGAGGGCAAGCATCTATCAATCATCTCTCACTCCAAGCCAGGAGTTTTAAAGTTCTATCAGTGGAGGCACAAAATATGAGAAAGGAAAAACAGAGCCTGCATAATCTGGTTGAAAGGGGTGAGGAGTGAGTGGCATGACCCAGTGGAACTTTTTTCCCTTCTCTGTGTCACTCACTTCGAAGCTTTGGCCCCACAAGGCACCACCTCACAGTGGTGGTTTGGAGACAGTTTCTCCAAACTCAAGGGTTTCTGGAGGATCACTTAGAAATCGCAGTTCTAAGCAACCACTGAACTTGCTCCTTAACGTGCCTACGCAAAAATGAGAAAGAAAATAACAAAGCAAGTCTGTTTCTTGGAGGACATGCATAGTTTGAAGAGGAAAGTGATGTTCTAAACTGGCCCACTCTAACCCTTTCTTATGTCTAGATGTCCTGAATGTTTTGATACTAAATGGACTTTGAACATCCTATTTAATTGTTGCTATAATCATAGTCATACAACTATATGCCATAATTTGCGCTTCAGAAAATGTGAACAGCTTTATTTTTGTCACACATTCCTCATAAAATTGTGCTAACACAGATACCTATGAATAATTTCTGATCATTAAAAATTGTTCATTTAGAGAATTAAATTGGATCCTAACAGATACAATAGTGATGAAAAGAGATGGATAGGATTTACTGTAATCTGATTTTAAAATAGTATAAAAACTCCCAAAACCTAGAGAATGGCAAATTGATGGAAGCATGAGTTCATGTAAGAATAAGTTGACATGAATCCCAAATCAAGGCATAAACTCATTCAACTGTGTGCACTGGGTCCTTTGTTCACGGCCATCATTGTACGTTACACAAGTAACATGAACACTCCTAGCATATTTTATTATTTAAAAAATTGTTTTTAATGTTTATTCTTTGAGAGAGAGAGAGCATGAGCAGGGGCGGGGCAGAGAGAGGGAGACACAGAATCTGAAGCAGGCTCCAGGCTCTGAGCTGTCAGCACAGAGCCCGATCATGACCTGAGCCAAAGTCAGATGCTTAACTGACTGAGCCACCCAGGTGCCCCATGAACATTCTAGCATATTTTAGACAAGATAATGGAGATCCTTTGCAGCTGGATAAAAAGACTATGGACATTAAGATCAAAGAATTTGAACCTCTGGGTTGATGGTCTTACCTCAGTAGCAGTGCTCTGATTAGCTCCATTTTCAAGCAAATATTTTACAACATCAATGTGGTTCTCTTGGGCAGCCATGTATAAAGGAGTGAAGCCATTCTGAGGACAAACAATAAAAAAGACATCTTTAATCATTTGTAAAGTTTAAACCAGGGAAGAATACCAGAAAAGGAAAGAGAGAATACTACGAAGTAAACTTTTGAAATGATGATACATATAACACACCTTCACAATGTAGTATACATATATTTACTATTATAAAACTAGCTATAATCAAAGTGAACCAATTCCTACACATAATTCCTAAAAGAATGAGGACAAAGTGATACGGAAACAATATTTACCAAATTCCCTATCTTCGTTTCAGTTCTAGAGATTTACATTTCCCATTACCTAACACTGTTAAAACTAAAGATATTTAGAATTTTAATATAATCCTATGGCATACATATAAATTCTCATTATATGTAGTGTATTTATAAAATAATATTTATATAGTATCTTCTGTACTTTTTCAATTAAATTTTTTAATGTTTATCTATTTCTTAGAGAGAGTGCGAGTTGGGGGGGGGGGGGGGCAGAGAGAAAGGGAGACACAGAATCCAAAGCAGGCTCCAGGCTCTGAGCTGTCAGCACAGCACCTGACGTGGGGCTCAAACCCAACAACCGTGAGATCACGACCTGAACTGAAGCCGAAGCCTTTAATCGACTGAGCCACCCAGATGCCCCTCTCCTTTACTTTTTTAAAAAATGTCTATTGACTTATTTATGAGAGAGAGAGAGAGAGAGAGAGAGAGAGAGAGGCAGAGAGACAGGGAGACAGAGAATCTCAAGCAGGCTCCACGGTGTCAGTGCAGAGCCTAATACAAGGCTCAAACTCACAAACGGTGAGATCATGACCTAAGTTAAAATCAAGAGTCTGAAGCTGAACCAACTGAGCCACCCAGGGACACCTATCTTCTGTACTTTATTAAATCATAAACTATTTAAACAGGCCACCATTATCTTGAATGTATGCGGTTTAATTAGCACTTTTAAAGGTATAAATTATTACTCATTCCAGAATAGGCTAGGAGTGATTGCAAATCTGATTGAAAAGGTTTCTAAAAAAATCTAAATTTCAGTATTCTGATTGAAGTAATATGGTTTATACTGAATATCTTTATATTATTTTTAAAGCCATTCTGAAATTCTATCATTCATTAACTCCCATATTCATGCATTCAGTTATTTACTAAAATCCAGCCACTGGTAGCTGGGACATCACTGGGATACACTGATAAATAAGACAGACATCTGCCTTAATGAAACATATACTATGGTAATATTATAACATTATTACATAGTCACAGTTAAAAGAATCACTGAAATTATACAGCTTGAGTTTAAAATTAAGTTTAAATTGGCAAATTTTCTTTTCATCAGATCCTTTGCAATAGGTAACACCGCATTAAAAAAAGACTTCGTAAAAAAATAGAAAACATGGGACACTATATAGACTCTTAAATCTAACAATTCTCTCAGAACAATGTCAGAGCCTTACGTGTTGTTGATTCCCTGAAAAATTCTATGCATTAATGAGAATAAGCAAAAACAAGGGATTTTCAAAACCATAAAAGGAGAAAAAAATAACTGTTTTGAAAAATTCTTCTATATGCATCGTTTAAGTGTGGCAACATTATTTAAGATGGCCAAGATCTGGCAAAATATAAAAATACAGAATATAGAAGTAGAATAAGAAAAGAAATTTTAAATTTGATTACAAAAGAAAATCTGCAGACTTCAAAAGAGGAGGAAATTTTTAAACTAAGAAATATTGTCAAAGGAACGAATTGACAATTTTGTAGGATGCAGGAATAGCTTGCTAGTTGGATAGCATATTTTTTTTTTAAACATAGCAAACAGGTGAAATCTTGGGTATTTTAAGAACACTGAAGAGGTGGCGGAAGGACGGAATTAGAGATTCAAAGGAAGGGAAAGCCAGTGAGTATGGTTAAAAACAATGAGTGGGTGTGGAATGGGGCTCTTTCATGACAAGGAAAAGGCAGGATGCAAAGGAAAAAAAAAGACGAAACAGAACTTTTAATAGAGTAAAACACTTTGCTTACATGTTTTCCTCTGACAGAATCTTGGATGTAGATCAGGAGAAAGGGAGATAGACCATGGTTGCCACATCAATAGGGAAAAAAAAAATGTACCATTCTTAGCCTCCCACCCTGGGTCCTGGGCTTTAGAGGGGGCCTCCTCTATTTGAACACGGTAGGGATCCAGAGGCCCAAAGGGACATGCCCATCCTGATCCTGCAGCTCTCCTGCTTCCAGACCACACATTAGGCATGAAGTTACCCATAATCCTTGACTAAGCAGCCCCCAGCATGGTTCCAGTGCTTGCTCAGACTTCTTTGGGTTCATTTTCCAAAAGTGCCATGCACACCATGTGACAGACTGACCAATGGCCCCCAAATATGTCCTCACTCTAATCTCTGGAAGTTGTAGATGTTACCTTATATGTCAAAAGGAACTTTACAGGTGTGATTAGGTTACGGATCTTGAGGTGGGGAGATTATCCTGGATTGTTCAACTGGGTGTAACATAATCACAGGGTTTTTATAAGAAGGAGGCAGGAGGTCAGAAAGGAGAAAAGACACCATACTGCTGGCTTTGAAAATGGAAGAAGGGGACGTGATCCAAAGAGATTTTTACTCAGAGCCTCCAGAAAGAACCAGCAGGGGCAGCACCTTGGTTTTAGTCCTAAGCCTAATCTCAGACTTCTAAAATTATAAAATAACAAAATCTGTGTTAAGTCATTGAATTTGTGGCAATTTGTTACCGCAGCAACAGGAATCTAATAGACACCCCAGGAGCTGTTTGCTAGGGAAGGTCAGAGCAGTAGGTGCAGGTCAGGGTGTTCACACCTTTACACATGATGCTCTATGGGGAGGATGGATCCAGGGATGGGCCAAGAAGAGGAACCCGCTGTAGGCCAGGGTTTAGAATCAGCACCACCCCCACCCCCACCCCGCCACCAGCCACAATCCTGTGTGGAACTCCAAGGTTTCTGAGAAGTCTAAATTTGGACCTGTCATATTGTTATAAAGATATATTTGTCAAGATAGGAAGATAGGAGATACTTATTTAAAGTTAACTTGATATATAGCTTTTAATTTAAAAAAGTATATTGTAGGGGCAACTGGGTGGCTCAGTCTGTTAAGCATCTGACTCTTGATTTTAGCTCAGCTCATGATTGCACGGTTCATGAGATCAAGCCCCAAGTTGGGCTCTGTACTTACAGCACGGAGCATGCTTGCGATTCTCTCTCTCCTCTCTCCCTGCCCCTCTGCCCACTCATGCTTTCTCTCTCTCTCTCTCAAAATAAATAATAAACTTAAAAAAAAAAAAGTATATTGTAAGCGGGCCTCTTTTGCATTCATGCCCTGGGCTCTGCAAGTATTAATAGTGGGTTAGTGGTAGAGAAAGAAAAGGGGGAAATATCAGTACATATCATATAAGGGAGGGGAGAAAGGGCAGTCACAAACATTCAGGATCTTGATTAGAGTACATCATGAATCCCATTTGTGCCTGGTGCCACCGCCTCAGCATGCAAGGGCTTTCAGCAGTATAGGGGATACAGATATGAAGAACAATAACAATAAAAATAATTTATTGAACTTCTGCTATACGCTATTCACTATGAGAGATGATTTCGATGTCACCTCTAATTACTGTGATCATGTATGTGTCTGTTTGTCTGGGACAGTCTAAGTTTATGTCTAAGTTTATGTATAGTACCCTGGAGTAATAATTAATAGTGTCTCAGTTTGAATGACACATTAAATGGCCTAATACTATCTCTAATACTTAAAATATTGCTGCAACATTGGTACTGCCATATCCTTTTTTTTTTATTTTTTTAAAGTAAACTCTACATCCAAAGTAGGGCTCAAACTTATGACCTCAAGATCAAGAGTCCCATGTTCCACCAACTGAGCCACCCAGGCATCCCTCTTCACCCCACTTGAACTGAGGCAGCTGAGGCTCAGATAGTTGGGTAACTTGGCCAAAATCTCACAGCTAGTAAGTGAAGTGAAAGTGTCTCTGCTGAACTGGAGTCTCCATGGGTGAAGCCAAAGCACCTGCAATTTTTAAAAAGCTCAATTTTTGAAATTACCTGAAGAATATTGTTATCGGTGATGCAGAGCAAATGAATGGTTTAGGGCAAGAAGGGCCGTGATCACATCTGCGTTTCAGAGCGTCCACTCTGGTGAACACTGAGTGGACCACACCCACTGTGGTTTGGGGTGGTGGAAGACACGAATGAAAGTACGGGGTTAATCAGATTTTGTAGTATTTGCGATAGTACATTTAAAAGATGAAGGAAGCCTGAGCCAAAATAACATCTTGGCTAGGCGAGGGAGGGAGGGAGCTATTTACTGTTACAAATATGTGAAGTAAAAAGGCGATAAAGATTTACTACAGGTCCTAAAGACGTGGGAAATTATCCTTCCCTAACTTCCTGATACTACTTAACAAGAAATACTCCGCCAGAAAATGTGAAACATGCCTCTGGGTAATTGGGACAGGGCACTGCAGCCTTTTAACAGCACTGTGAGTTTTACAGGAAAGCTTTTATCTCTGCATATAAATAGATTAATAACACAGGATTACTGGCCTGTGTCCATGCTTCCAGGTGCTTTCCAATGTATTATGTCTCCATGCCTTTCTAAAATAGTGTGGCTGCAGGTAGGTATAAAAGTATATGTATTTTCTTCTTGTTGGTATAAAAAAGTCAAAGAGATCCACAACCTGGGCTGATACTAGGAGGATGCTAACAAGCACCAAATTATCAGCTGTTATGATAATTAACAGCGTGACCAGTAGGTGCCTCTACCAACCAGTTATTAAATATTTTAACATTATTCGTCTCCATTGCCACTCATGTATATTTATTCAACAAAAATGTGTTGGGTGACTCTTTACTGCTAGGCATTGTGTTTGGCATAGTGATTCAGAGAGGAAAGGCAAAGTTCCTGTTAATTAGGAGCTCACAGTCCAGAGACTGAGATGGGCAAGTGAGGAAACTACTATGTTACAGTTCAGTGA